CTTTTTCTCTGGCATGCAGAACGGTGTGAGGGAGACTGCCTTCTTGGTGGGAATAAGGGATGACTACTTGGCAAACAAATGCAACATATCATTTTAAGGATTGCGTTAGGGGAATACGCATTGCCTATCATGTAGCATGCTTTTTTTTCCCCTCAGTGGTACATTTCTGCAGTACACAAATGCATAACTCAGAACAATTTAAAATTTACTATTTAAAAAGGTATTAAGCAATTTGGATGCCTGGTAATGCTTTTTAATAAAAATTTTGTTATTTGCAAAATTGAACATAACTTCAGTTTAGAGTTCAGGTTAACACAACATTTAATAAGTTTCTTCAATCTTCCCAAAGCTGTTTACCGAAACAAATGTTATTTTCACTGCTGCATTTTTGGCAGACAAAAGTAGTTAATTCCACAATTTTTAAGAAATTTCAGGGACTAGAATTTAAGTTGGGATGTAGATAATTTCCTAATGCCAGGCTCCCGAAGCGTGAGCTTTACTGACCACTTACCATACAGTATTCCTCCTTCTAATTATCCATACGCTGCCTTCCGTCAAGTCTGAAAGCTTCAAGAATGATTACATTTCCCGTAAGCTACCTTTCAACTAACGCATTGGCATGAAAGGGAGGAGATGCATCCCTTTGTCAGCGTTGAAGGACATGGCGGTTCCAAGAAGGCATTCGCATTAAATATCTTCCAGGAGTGCCAACATCTGGATAATATTTTGACATCCTTTCAGCTGAAAACTATGGAAATGATCATCCTGTGGGCATATGCCTCAACATTCCTACGTATTCAATATTGCCAAAATGGAGTATCATCTGCAATCCTGAAACCTGGTAGCTGATGAGGAAAAATGATTGAGAACTTCTTTCACAGCTTTTATAGCCAAATAACGAATTATCTGCAACGCCTTTTCCTACAGTATGCTATATACGGGCAGAGCAAATATCTGGAAGGACATACTTGTGCTGATTACCCATGAACTTCTAGACAAAATGATGTCCTGAGTTCACGCTAGCATCACCCGCTGCAAGTATCGATACACTGTTGAAGTCAAAACATTTGACTGCAGTACATTATTTTTATCATTTCAAATATTGCTAGTGGACCTTCCTTACAGTCTTGGAAATAATCAAACAGACAATGGTCTATTCCCTTTTCAACTGTTTAAAAATGGACAACTACCAAAAAACCTTTGTTGTTTTCGTGCTTTGAGATATCTATTGCCAAGAGGGGAAAAAGCCTTTTTCAGCTACATGTTTGCTTTCTCTGTGAGAGAGGATCTAATACATTGCTGCATACACAGATGAATTGTCTTACCTGTAGGTGGAAAACTACGCTATTGCTTTCACAATCCTGTAATCCATTGGAGTGATTATGGATCATGCTACCATAGATCTCCAGCACATCTGCCACAGCGATATTTTCACATTTCTACTAATAAAAAGCTCAAAGTTTCACCTTTATAATAAATGCTAGAATTACTTCTTTGCTTTATTCCACTTCCATCCTACCTGATGTGACAGTTCACCGTGCATAACCGAGGAACTTCTCCACAAACTGCACGAAGTTTCCTGACAACTATTGCCAACTTTATTGAGCTACTCAACACCATTTCTCCACTTACTCTGGAAAGCCGAAAGCCTTTTTTTTTTTAAGACATGTGTCTGGACTTGTTGCAGGATTGTTGACACTGCAGTTGCAATTGTGGCCTCAAAACTTGTAGGCACCAGCTAAAAACACATAAATAGTTGTTAGCGTCATTCTTAAGTCACAGTCACTCTGCCTTCCACCTCCACTGGACCAGGCCAAGGGATCTTAGATATGGTGCCTCAAACAGCCAGTATTTAGCTTGCAATAAGTCTATAGGAAAAAGTCATCTTTCAGTTTGCAAACTTTCGCATGCGGGGGAATCGTTCCTGCAATTCCACAGCTACTCTGTAAGTACATTTAAAACATATTTATGTGCATTTTAGTACACATTGAAATAATTTCTGTGTAATGTTCGTAAACATAAGACAACTCTTATTGGATTCAATGGTGCTGTATAAAGAAAAATGACTGTTCTTGGAGACGAAGTAAATACAACTTTGCCTACAGCAGAACAATGGGGTGGAAAAATGAAACAGCCTTTGGTAGACAAAGATATGTGGCCCACTCAGCAGTTCTTTGGAGGGAAATGAGTATCCATGGCACTATGTGCAGTCTTTCCTGGATTTATATTTAATTATGGGTAGATCCTGACAGCTTAAAGGAGTAGTTTTAATCAGACTTTGATAGATTTACTATTCCATGGGTTTTTTATGTGTATGTGGGGGAGTTGTGTGTTGTAGTTTTTTTCTTGAGGGAATGAATTACCTCAGTTTTCTGGTTTTTTGCTCCTTTTCGGCTTAGAGATTATTAAAATTTATCAGTAGAAGTGTGGACCTTGTGTTGGAAATGTACACCTTCAGACTCATTTTTCTCCATTGCATATGTTCACCTCTCAAGAGGTTTACCTTCCATCTCCCACAGTGGAAAACAGTAAGATCAAGTCTGAAATGGAACCACTGCTCTTTCCAGCTCTATTAGAGGACTCTTCAAAATCCTCCCTCTGTAGTCACTTCAGAATACATCAACAGCACAACACAATGAGAATCCCTCAGGCCTGCAGTCATCCTCTATTTATATATTTCCAAAATTGGATTAAAATTCTCAGAGAACTCTGCTGAAATCTCTAACTGACATTGCATAGAGCAAAACCCTATGTGATGAATATTTGTTCTCTGTGTAGCCAGTAGCAACATTTTCCAAAGTTTTCTCCCTTGCATGCTATTTCCTCACCTGTGTTAGAGAGGCCTAAGGCAATATCATGTTTTCACAGGCAAAGTCTGAAAAAGGAAGATTTGTAACCTCTTTTTTAAATTTCAGGTTTGTTTTTTATTGCAATTCTGAGACAAAAAACGTAGCAACTTTTTCTTCTAAGTGTTTTGGTTAGTATTTGTTAAAAGCTGAGATTTTTTCAGACTGACCTCCCTTCCGAAAATAGGGTGATTTCTTGCCCTTGCTTTGTGAGGGTCTGACTGATTGATTCAGACCTCCCCTTAATCCTGCTACAGATGAGTGAGATAAGAGACATCCCCCAGAGCCACTGGGATCTGTTTCTGGCCTGGCATGAACTCCTCGCTCTGCCCAGAAGCTTCCCTCCCTGCCGCATGCTGTGCACAGCTGTTAAGTACCCCATCCTCCGGCACTCCTGCCATCTCATTTCATGGGTCTGTTCTCCCGTCCAGCCCCCAAAAGGCTTGATTCCCACTCCTTATTCCCCCTGTCTTTCCTCCCCCATTTCCCCAGCCTGCTCTAAGCACCACCATCTGCTTAGGCTTTCCCAGCTCTCAGGACACATACAGAGAAGAAGGAATGGGAGTTCTTCTCCCCGGTTTGGTTCCCTTGTCTCTGTCCTGTTCCACCTTTCTCCCTCTGTTGCTCACACTCACTCTGTGGAGAGAATTTCAGCATGTGGGGAAAATCTCCTAAAATAAAGCTCAGGTGACGACTCAAATAGTGCAAAGCAGAGCAGATGATGTGATCATGTGATGATCAATGATCTGGACGAGGGGATCAAGTGCACCCTCAGTCAGTTTGCAGACGACACCAAGTTGGGCGGGAGTGTTGATCTGCTCGAGGGTAGGAAGGCTCTGCAGAGGGACCTGGACAGGCTGGATCGATGGGCCGAGGCCAATTGTATGAGATTCAACAAGGCCAAGTGCCGGGTCCTGCACTTGGGCCACAACAACCCCATGCAGCGCTACAGGCTTGGGGAAGAGTGGCTGGAAAGCTGCCTGGCGGAAAAGGACCTGGGGGTGTTGGTCGACA